AGACAGATGCTTTCAAGTTTTCTTTGAGGGGGATCTTTCCTCAATGATAAGGATATGCTCAGGAGTACCCCAAGGAGCCATCCTTTCTCCCACACTTTTTAACATACTAATGCATGACATACCCTCCATCCCTGGAGTAAAATGTATTGAGTATGCAGATGATGTGGCATTTTTTGCTACAGATAAGGATATTGGATCTGCAACTGCAAGATTGCAGAACCAGTTAGATGAATTTGGAAACTGGGCCTGCCAGTGGGGCCTATCACTTAACATCAGCAAAACAAAGTGCATGTATTTCACCCATAAGAAAGTAAACCCTCCCTCCCTCTGGTGTAAAGGCCTACCAATTGAAGTTGTTTATCAGTTCCGAGTGACTTTAGATGCTCCGAGACTGCGCTGGAGAGCACACATAGAGGCTCTTAGAATTTCATGCATTCCTATTGTAAACTTGCTCAAATGTATAGCTCACAGACAGTGGGGAGCAGATCGTATGCTGCTCTTAAAATTATATAAAATATTAGTCATCAGTCGTCTAGATTATGCGGCACCCTTTTATGCTTGTGCTGCTGAAACACAGCTCTCAAAACTGAACATCATTCAAAATAACTGCCTTAGGACTGCCCTGGGGTGCAGAAAAACTACTCCAATTCGATCTCTTGAAGTTTAAGCTAACATCCCTCCCCTCTCAATTCATCATAAAGAGCTTCTGTGTAAATACTACTACAGACTCACAATGCTTCCAATGTGTTCCATAATTCATGATCTCTTCTGTGCTGAGCAACAGGACACACACCCTCCTATATCTGTCTCACTTTTACCATCCTTTACCACTCATGCAAGAAAAATTTTCTCTGAACACAATTTAATTCTCCCCAGACCATTGCCACTTCCCTTTCTTTCTCCCCTTCCACCCTGGTTCAACATCCAGCAGCACATCCTAACAACCTTCTCATCAACTCCTGTATCGGGCCTCACATCCAACTCAGCTTCACAAACCTTCCAAGACCTCCTGCAGACAAACTTTGCCAACTTTACAGCAGCATACACAGACGGCTCACGAGTAACTGAGCCTGTGGTCTCGTCATCAGCAGCCATGGTGGTGCCTTCTAAAGGTGTTACACTCAATTGGAAACTGCGACCTGAGGTTTCAGTCCTAGAAGCTGAGCTCTTTGCTCTCAAGGAGGCACTTGAGTGGGCCCAGAACAACCTCAGTCACTGTTAAAAGTTTGCCATTTTCACAGATTCTCTTAGTTCATTGTATTTAATCAAGGATAGGAAGCCTCAATCTTATGTGCACCTTGTTTTCCAGATCCAAGACAAGTTTTTGGTGCTGGTGACTCAAAGTGAAATCAAACTCCAGTTTGTTCCAGGCACCGGGCATTGCTGGGAATGAGGCAGCCGATCACGCAGCCTCAACAGCTCATGCCCTACGGTATTGTACCATTACTCCAATGACGAAGGAAGAGACGGTAAGGAAATTCCATTCTGTTTTTGTTGAGGACTGGCAGCAGAAGTGGCTTGGTGACACTCATGACTCTGGAACATGCTTATTCCTCCTCCAAATCAAAGAAAAAATAGAAAACTGGCCATGGGCATCAAACAAGAGCAGACTAGTTGAGACAGCACTTGCCAGACTTCGGCTCGGACATGCTGGCGTGAGAGCGCACATGGCCCGCTTTGGGATGCTAGACAATCCAATGTGTAATTGTGGCCTGCATGCTGAAACTATTGATCACCTATTGCTTCATTGCCATCTACATTCCCTGCCCAGAACTACATAATCTAACTAACACACTAACCATACTGAATGTGAATTTAACAATAAAAAACTTGCTTGGAGGAGGACCGTTCCCAATGGAGGTGCAGACTAAAATAATCAAAGCCACTTCTGATTACCTGACAGCAATTAATGCTCTGAAGCAAATGTAATTCTAGTTTAGGAACTTCTAGTGTAAGGTATTCTCAATTGTTGCCAATAGTAAATAGAATTTTGATAACTAGCTAAAACCTAAAAAGCATCTCCTTGTAGACTAACTGTGAACAACAATCTGTGGCACTAACCTTATCTCAAATCTTCAATAAGTACACCCACTGGTGCATCCAGCAGCTCAAGTAGGGGCACTCTGTGCAGATCAATTGACTAATATAATGACTGCATTTGTGAAGGGTGCCTTTATTTGTCTGTCATGTACCCTCATCATCCTTTGCCTCTTCAGAACCCTGCCCATAAGAGATCCATCTTGTTTGCATACTTAAATTAGATTTTACTTGTACAAGGCCTATTGGCCTCAAGAGGCTCCAGGTTGAGCTGCCCAGGCTGGACCCTTATCTAGCTGACTGGTTCTCGCATGTGGCACAAGGTAGGGCATCCCCTAGATACTAACTGGGTTACACTAGCATCTACATTTGAATGTTTTCTTTACCACTTTCAGTATGATAGAGTAGCACCTGTTTTATAATCATTATTATGTGATTTTGAAATATATTGACCCATGTAATGCCCTCAGCAAAATATTCCCTGATTGATGATACTGGAACATACACCCTCGTTTTGAAATTGTTGATTAGCTATTGTTGCAATGCTTGCATTGCTCTGTGTTGACAATCCTCTTCATGTGTCCACAGTTGCTGTGGCTACGTCTGCAACACACTCCCGTACAGTTGTGGAGCTACATGGACAAGTCTTCGAAGCTCCAATAATCACCAATCACCACCACCACCAATTAGATCAACACATTCAACGGGGAAAGTCAGTTCGGAGTTCAACCCATTCATGGTGAAATCATGAATGGGATCTTATCACCACATTCAACCCATCTTCATGGTGATAAGACGTGTTGTGCCAAAGTCTTGAAAAGTCCAAATCCTGAAAATCAAAGCGCGTAAAAACCAGAACCAACTCTTCTGTTTCTGTTTGAGAATTCACAGAAACTGGTGTGAAAGCAACAAGTATGGCGGAGTCATCATCTGGAAGACCAGAAGAACTTTTCAGTGAATCCATGACCGATCTAACTGACTTTGATGGCTTCCCTTCAGACTCGCCAGTGATTGGCCGGCCGGCAAGAAGCAAAAAGCCAAGACTTCAAGCCAAACCTACCCACCCGACCGAAACTTCTTCAACCAATAGCCCACAGTCAAAAGCTCGAGCAGACAAGCCTACCCAAGCTACATGCCTACTGATGAGAGAATATAAAAACTTTCAACTTTTTTGCCCAAACCTACAGGCTACAAGAGCTGGCCAGCGCTGCAGCTTATTGAACCAGACAGCCTTCATCGCAATGCCAAAGGCACCTTTATCCCCACCTTAATCACTGGTAAAGTACCTGCCAGTTGCCACTAATGTAAACTGATTTATCAATTCAGAGCACACCCATGAGCACAATGGCATAAAATATACTATCCGTATTCCCAAAACCCCACCCCGGCACCTCTATACCAAGGAGAAGTGGTATTTGACCTGACTGATATGGAAGACAAGTCCATTCTAAGCTACTCAACAGAAGACCTGATTGCCCAGCTCATGTTGCCTTCCAGTAAAACTAAAATAAAATAATATCCATAAAGCTGTATCCAAGCTGTCGAGGCCAAGTCATGTTGTAGCAGACCCTAACAATAGCCAGTTTCTTTCAATGCGCATTGCAATTGAATGCTCCTCAGCTGTACCAGATAAGTTTTTTTTCACAATGTAGCCCTCAAGGCCTCGACGTACATTCCTACCTTGCACCTCCACCTTGCTGCTATGACTGTCAAAGGTTTGGACATGGTGCCATATCATGTAGAAGACGTTCAGTATGTGCCCGCTGCTCATCACCCAACCATGTGGTACAGAACTGTGATGCTGAAAACCCATGCTGTGCATTGTGCAGGGGTGCTGAATATTGGAGTAATTGGAATATTTACTCTGGCATTGAGCAGCCATTTATCCTGCCACAAGCTTGCAACCAGACCAAGTCTCAAAGCATTATAATTGAGCAGCCTTATCTCAGAATCCATGATGAATTCAACAAGCTCCATGACACTCTTGACCACAATTTCTAACCCTGAACTATATGCAGCAACAGCTACTGCAAATGAGTGTATGTTCTCCAAGAATCTGGTTTAACTTATAAATTTTGATTCAAAGAAGGTTGTAGACTTCTTCATTATTTGGAGTACATCCATTTGGACTTTGATGCGTCTGTGATGCATTAGAGAACAAAAATAAAAGAACATTTTTTGAATTGCATTGGAAAATTATCATTAATTTCATTAAAAAACTCACTTGGACTGCCTTGGAGTAATTGGACCAACAACTATGTCATCAAGAAAGTCTCACCTGCCACCTTCAGTCTGGAGGGCTGTGGAACCACTTGTGACCACTTGCTCTCTAGACCATTGCTGGCACCCACCAGCATCGTCATGCAGTGGCATCCAACATCATCTTAAATATTGGGCTTTTTTTTAATTTTTCCATGCCTAAAAATACTTGAACTCTTAATATAGATCATATGATCACTTTCAAATCTCCAAAAAATTTAAATTCCAGCTTTTCAAACAATTATAGCAATTCCTTCATAGGCCTCATTTTTGTCTTTAGGGTTGCTGCTACTTAGTTTTATTTGTTTTAAATTGTAAGATGTAACTTTAAAGATATTTGAATTACATGCTGTGAAAAATTTGACAGGGAAAAAGTAATTACCAGGCTTTACCTCAATTACAATCTTGAATAAATATTTACAACATAATTAATCACTTTTTTCATTGCCTGGAAGCAAATATTTTATTTAAATATGTTTCATGTCCTGCATCCCTGCAAAACTTGTGATATGAGTTATTCGCTTTGATAAATCTCTATTGATAACAAACATGAATGCATAGTAGAAGTTAGTTCATGGTAAAATATTTACTACTGTTGCTTAATAATAATTTTTTTCAGGTTTTTGCAATGTTGATAGTTTTTTGATCATCTATGCCATAATTTTTTCTAATATTGTTTAAATTAATTGATAACAATAATTTTATTCATTTCAAGATTACAGTTACAGATCAGATAATTTTATCAATAATTTCAACAAGATGTCTGAGATTAAGATAACTCCTTTAGGTGAGTTTCACTCCACCTTGAGTCATTATTAACCTATTACATGGTATTGTGGTCTGTATTTAAACTTAGCTCTATTTTTTTATTAGTAACAAACTTGTACAAAATTAACGAAAATAGTTCCCTATTAAATTAAAATATCTTTTCTGTTTCAGATACCTATAGCCGATTTAGAATATATTTAGCATGGCTGTTTAGGTCATTGATTATGCAGTGCTGCAGGTTTTTCATTACACAGTACAACTATTAATCAAACCTCATAATGAATCTCATTTGAAATACTACCATTAGGTCTTTTATCAGGTTATGATGATGAAGTTCAATAAATAAAGAAGTTATTGTGATATGTGTGGCTAAATTGAATATATAGTTGAGAATTATAGAGATAAGAAATATAAAAATGAATAAGTAATCTAAGGGTACGCACACAGTGGAAGCAGGTTTACCCGCGCGGGCAACCTGCTCCAACCTGCCACAAGAATGAACATAGGATAAATTGGATAATAATGAAAGTGTTCACAGTGAAAACCTGTACGAATAGGCTTCTGTATTCTATGGTTTCAGGCGCAGCCTGAGCAGGTAACCAGTATGCTGGCAACCTGCTTTCACTGTGTGCGTACCCTTATGCATTTTTGTGAGAGATATTGCAATCTCCATGATTTTTTTTTTATAATTCTGTTCACCTTGACTCAGTATACACCTCAGTACAGTAAAACTTCTAATAAGTAATGATGTTACTCATTTGCTTGAATCACAAATTCACTAGAAACTTGGAAGCACAAAAAAATTTTTGTAATCTTGACCTACTAATTACTCATTTACCTGTGTTCTAGAATTTTCGAACTGACATTGGAGCTTGACTACAAAAAGTTTTCTATTAAGTTAGTATGAATATTTATGGAAATTCCTTTGTTTTTAAATTTCTAACTTATAATAATCATTGAGTAATTCTATGACTTTTCTCTGAAATATTTACCCGTCAACAGGAGCTGGCCAGGATGTTGGTCGGAGTTGTATTCTTGCCAGCATTGGTGACAAGCACATTATGCTTGACTGTGGCATGCACATGGGGTGAGCTCACTAACAACTTCTGGCTTTATGTCACAACATTTTAATCTTTCAGTAATTGCACTTTTATAGTGCATATTTTTGGGAAAAGTTCATACGTTCAATTTTTTTAATTGGTCAATTGTTTAGATGTTATTCAGGACAAGCAATTGCCTAAGAATGGATGTTTCTACTATGTACCAAAGTAATTCAGAAATTCTATTTTCATATCAAGGCATGTGTAGTAGAATTTATAGTTGAGAATTATTCAAAGTACACACAAAAAGTAGTACCTAGTAATTTAGATCAAAGTTTGTATCATGAAAAATATTGTCAAGAGGTCTAATTATGATCCAATGATCCAATACAAGTAAATATAATTCATTTCAAATAAATGTAATTATGTTCAACTGTGAGAGAGGTTTAAGCCTGAATTATAAATCAATCTTTAAAGAGTAAAGTTGTACAAATTCAAAATAATTTTTCTGTTGGGAGGCATAATTTGAGCTTTTGATATATTTCAATTGGTTAAACAGCTACTGGTGCGATTTCAACAATTGATTAAATCTCATGATAATCACCTAAAATGATGCCACCTGAAATGCTGCTAATTAATTATTTACAGTTTCAATGATGAGCGTCGATTCCCAGACTTCTCATACATTGCTGAGGGCAACCTGACAGAGCACCTAGACTGCGTGATCATCAGCCACTTCCACCTGGACCACTGCGGTGCTCTGCCCTACATGACGGAGATGGTGGGCTACACCGGCCCCATCTACATGACACAGCCCACCAAAGCTCTCTGCCCTGTGCTTTTGGTTAGCATTTATTACTAATTAATTGAGTGGTGGTCACACCGGCGTTATTATCCTATAACCTGTTTTTTTTCCTTGGCACAATATCTCTGTATGGATTTCTACTTGCAAAACCTTGAGGTTTTTCTCAAAATTTGTAAATTCAATGAACGTGGTTAGTCAGTTATTTTGTATAGATCTTTTTTTAAGAGTCTTGAGCCCTATGTAGCTCTGTTCTTCTAGCTCATGTTTTGATGAAGTTTTTCACATGATTTAACAGTTGAATTCATCTTGTTAAAAAAAAATAGTCACTCAGAATCTGTTGGAGAAGTGACATCTTCATGGACAGAACTTTATCTGAGTTATGTTTTTCGTTCTGCTATCTAATAATTAAATCAGCACCATCGCGCGTGTGCTTCTATTTAATGTGTACTCTTTATTACTTATACAGGAAGACATGCGCAAGGTGGCCGTTGAGAGGAAGGGGGAGACCAACTTCTTCACTTCATCTATGATCAAAGATTGCATGAAGAAAGTCACGACTGTGGCCCTTCACGAGACAGTCAAGGTATGCACTATTTAGCCACGTATTCATTAGCCTATACTATATGTCCCTGTTATTGTGAAATTTTAGTATATTGAGCGGCCACTTACAAAGACGAACAATCGATTGAAAGATTCTATGGCTATTTAATTTGGAATTTTAAATAAAATGTTCAGGCTAATGTTTACTTGTTGCCCCCATACAGATAATCTCAGAGAAATTAAATAAAATGTCATTAAAAATTGCGCGCAATTTAATTATTTCTGAAAATTTTTATCTTTTCAACCTATCATATGTCATCTTGTAGTAGCTATCAGATTACTATTCATTGTGCTTTTTTCAAAACAATAGCAACAAGATCTAAAGTTAAGTATTTTTTAATCAATTTTTTCACTAATAACCTCATTCCTTACCAACCTTGTTCCAAGTTTGTTTCATCAACTTGCATCATCTCAGGAGAAATTATATGTTGATTCTTGTTTTGCTGGTTACAGTTTAAGGCAGCCAGCTAGAAAAAATAACAAGTGATTGTTCAGGTTGAGGTTCTGCTACGCATAACATGAATATCAATTTGTACTTTGATACAATCACCTTCTAAATTCACCTGTTTCCCGTTTCAGGTGGACGACGAGCTGGAGATAAAAGCATATTACGCTGGACATGTGCTGGGAGCCGCAATGTTCCATGTCAAAGTGGGCAACCATTCTTTGGTGTACACGGTGAGCAACCAGTGGGTAACTTGTGCACACGCAAATAGTGTATGAGTTATTCTTAGTTGAATGTTCTTGTGCGATAACCATATGGTGTGCGATCTAATTGGTTGGTTTGGCTTATACTCGTTTATATGAATTAATATGAAATGTTGTTTGGGCTAGCATTCATATCTCGCGTTGAGTTTGTTTATTTTAACCAGCCTCCAGTATTGGGATTGTTCTGAATATAAGGATGAACCTATCTAGGCAACGTGTTGTTATCTGACCATATATGTTATTTTACGTCCATATGCAAAAGTCACTCCAGTTGACCGATCTAAACATGGCGATTTTCTGAATTTAACTAACGTTGCTTTCTACTGCAGGGCGACTACAACATGACGCCTGACCGGCACCTGGGCGCTGCATGGATAGATAAATGCCGCCCCGACCTCCTCATCACTGAGAGCACTTACGCCACCACCATCAGGGACAGTAAACGATGCAGGTGAGCACCTACGCCACCACCATCAGGGACAGCAAGTAATGCAGGTGAGCACCTACGCCACCACCATCAGGGACAGCAAGCAATGCAGGTGAGCACCTACGCCACCACCATCAGGGACAGCAAGCAATGCAGGTGAGCACCTACGCCACCACCATCACGGACAGTAAACGATGCAGGTGAGCACCTACGCCACCACCATCAGGGACAGCAAGCAATGCAGGTGAGGCTCGTCTACTCACCATGCGACCCCTACTCTCGAACCCTTTAATGAATATGATCATTCTATAGGCGATGATATGTCTATGCAAATTGATGACTTATTTTTTCCAGAGAACGGGACTTCCTGAAGAAGATTCACTCGTGCGTGGACCGTGGGGGCAAGGTGCTCATCCCGGTGTTTGCGCTGGGGCGTGTACAGGAGCTCTGCATCCTGCTGGACACTTACTGGGACCGCATGAACCTCACTGTGCCTGTCTACTTCACCATGGGACTTGCTGAGACTGTCAGTCTTTAGTGGGACTTGTTGAGACTGTCAGTCGTTAGTGGGACTTGCAGAAACTGTCAGGCTTTCCTGAGATATCAGTGGGACTTAATTCAACTGTCAAATTTATGTTAAGACTTGATAAAACTGTCAGCATTAGTGGGATGGCTGCAGGTTTCAAAGGGTTGTTAGGGTTTGGGAATTCAATGTATTACCATTTTTGACATCAATTCGTATTCATGTAATTACATGTTCCTTATGTTGGTGTGACATTTTCTATTGCAGTTTGTCATACGGTACTTTCTAATCTCTATTATTAAATGCAAATCAATTCATTTCACGGAAAAACTCCACTGCATATTATTCATATCGTTTTCATCTGACAGGCAAACAAATACTACCGCATGTTTATCACATGGACGAACCAAAAAATACGTCGCACGTTCGTGCACCGCAACATGTTTGACTTCAAGCACATCAAGCCATTTGACAAGTCCTACATAGACAACCCCGGCCCCATGGTCGTGTTCGCCACCCCCGGCATGCTGCACGCCGGGCTCTCCCTTGCTGTCTTCAAGAAGTGGGCGCCACAGGAGCAGAACATGGTGGACAGCCTGTAGAAGTGTTGCACTTGCTAGCATCACTCTACATATAGAGGAGATAATTTCGGATATTTCATCAATCTATATATTTAGCGAAATTAGCTTGTTATGAGCTAATTCATATGACAATTTACTTTCAGATATACGTGCTTATATGTTTTTAGAGATACATACTGCCTTTATGTCGAAAGATTCAGTTGTTTTGTATGAATGAAATTCGGTGAGCTGGCTTCTTTATAGATTGTTGTTTTCTAATATCTTACTTATTTCTTCACGAAATTTTTGTATTGCCTACAATTTACCGGTATTTTTTCATAGAACTGAACACAGTTTTGTACTTTCTAGACTTCCTTTGTGTACTTTCTTTGTGTACTTTGTACTTTCTTCGTGTACTTAGAAGATGTACTTTCTAGACTTCCTTCATGTCAGCAAAGAAGTCTTATTCAATCTCCTCAGTTATGATAATGTATACACATCATCAGATGTGGGTATAGTTTGGCAGAAGTTGTTCCTGTATGCAAGTTTGATTGCAAACCATAGAATATTGTTTATTGAAACTTTTCTTGCTTGTTTTTTCCCCATTTGTTTCCGTCATTTTAACATTTTTCTTGCCGCACAGCTCTTCTCATTACTAGATGTGAGTACACGTACATGTATGCTTTTTTATTATATATTATATGTTTATTAAGAGTGTGTAACATTTGTGTATGCTTACATGTGCTAATGATGTGCAGGTGATCATGCCGGGCTACTGCGTGCAAGGCACCGTCGGTCACAAGATCCTCAACGGGGCAAAGGTCGTCGAGATCGACAAGCAGAACATCCAAGTCAAGCTTGCAGTCGAGGTGCGCATTTCCGTATGGAATTGTTTGCCTTTCTATGGATAAAATTTAATAGTATGAATGACTTGAATAGTATAAATTCAAGGTTAAAATAATTGCCAATTTCTAGGGTCTAACACTGCATTGCTCTTTGTAACAGCGCTCTGAAAGACTCCAGGGCAAACGAATTAAGCGCAGCTTCTATGTCAGTATGTCACAAATTTAAATAAATTGGAATACAAGGTCCAGCTCATTGTTTTTTAGGTATAAACTATGAGCTGTGAGTGTATAACCTAAAGTAATCAATTGTCATGGGTTACAAGAGTGCATATAAGTTAGGCAAGCACAGAGAGCTCATATTTGACCATACCTTAGAGCTGCAGGGTACGGCTGACTGAGACAGTTAACTAGACCTGACCTCGCGCTTCCTAGGGCCGTATTTAAAAATAGGAGTTTGGTACTATGTCAGCCTGTCACGGACGACTTTCCAAGCTAAACTACCACCAATCGCATTTGAGGAATCGGCTACTACGTGTATTTAGGCTGCTATGTATACTAAGGCTGCTAAGTGTACTTAGGCTGCTAAGTGTACTTAGGCTGCTACATGTACCTGAGCTAGTTATGATAGTATTGCTAGATGCAGATTGCCTAATTCTATTTGTCTACAACACCTCTCATAGGGCAGAGCTCAAACAAGAGCTTATACTAATAATATTAGCGGTTTCAGCATTTATTAGGCTGTAGGCCTGTCGCCGATTCTTAACATCGCAGAACATCCACAGCATGTTGCGGTCTTGAACTCGCAACGCACTGCTACAATTCTGCTGTGCTTTACCGCCCGGCCTCCTTGCCGATTCTGACCAGAAACTGGCGCACAGAGCTGGGACTGAACCCGCACCATCTGCTCCAATCCTGATACTTTGTACTTTAACCACTGGGCCACTCTGCCTTTACCCTCAGCGCCACCTATTAAGTGATTTAGGCTTTCCATGCGCTTATTCGGTTTAAACCAGTGGTTCCCAAACTTTTTCAGGCTGACGCCCCATTTGGCTCCCTAGTGGATTTCTAGCGCCCCCCACAGACACATATATAACATACGCCTCATTCTTGAAATTTAGTACGCTGCAATTTCCAAAGATAGAGGTTGAAAACAAATGTGTATTTCACAAATAGAACCCCATTTAGTGAACCAATATGTTTTTATGCTGTTTTAACTGTTTCAGCACTAGAAACCTAAGACGTCTCGGGCAAATGTACGGCCGGACTCGTGGCCGGTCGCACGACCAATCTCTAAATTCAATTATCAAGTAATATCTCCCAAACTAATGAACGCAGTTCAATGAAACTTGAAACATGTATTCATCAAAACTTAACGCGGACTTTTAGCTCGTAAAAATTATTAAATTTTACCTTCATTCGTGAGTTATATTGCGATACAGGCCGAAATTCGCAGATATCACAGAATTTCTTCCAAACTACTGGACAGATTTGAACGAAATTTTGAATATACATTCCTAACTACCGAACGGTGATTTTTTAGCTTGTAAAAAAATTCCATTTTACCTTCGTTTGCGATTTTTTTTTTTTATTTCACCGTCATTCTTGATTTCACACTTCCTTATATTCGGCCCGTATCGCCGGATAATTTGTCGCTTAAATTCGCGGCGATCAAGAAATTTTATTCTAAACTACTGAACAGATTTCAACGAAAATTTGTATATAAATACCTAACCTCCCAACGGTGATGTTTAGCTCGTGACAATTTCTCTATTTTGCTTTCGTTCGCGAGTTATACAGATATAGGAGGAACGACCGGCTTTTCTACCGGCCGGTTTAACCAGGAGCCGTTTACGTATATCCGTATACGTATAGCCGTATAACTCGCAAACGAAGGGCAAACGAAAAAGTTGTAGCGAGCTAGACATCACCGTTGCTGAGGTAGGTATTTAAATACTAAGTTTCGTTCAAATCTATGCAGTAGTTTTGGAAGAAATTTCTTGATTGCACGTATTGCTATTTAAATTACGAATGAAGGTGTAATGAAAAAAAAACTCGCGAACCAAGGCGCAATCGAATAAATTTTCACGAGCTAAACATTACCGTTCGGTAGTTAATACTGTAAATTCAAAATTTCGTTCGAATCTGTTCAATAGTTTGGAAGAAATTCCTTGATCCCTGTGAATTTCGGCCCGTATTGCCATATAACTGTGGCAAAAACAAATGAAGGCAAAATTAAAAAAAATTTCACGAGCTAAACATTACCGTTAGGTCCTAATGAATACGTGTACCAGGTTTCATCGAGTTAAGTTCATTAGTTTGAGAGATATTCCTTGATCATTTAATTTGGAAATTCGCGGTGAGACCGGCCGCGAGTCCGGTCGTTAATTTGTCCGACACGTAAACCCAGGAGAAGTTGAAAAAGCAGATCTGGGTGAGAAAACCATCGCTGGGAGTCATAATGTGCTGCACGTGTTGTGTACAAATCGTCAAACAAACTTTGGAACTTCTGACTTTGACTTAGGACTGCCGCCCCCTACCGCCCCCCAAACGCCCTCTTCTTCCTTACCGCCCCCCAAAATCGTTCCACCGCCCCTAGGGGGGCGATATCGCCCACTTTGGGAACCACTGGTTTAAACTATGTCCCGCCTTACAGTACATGTTCTGTTTTTCATGCCCCGGGTTACAGTACATGTTCTCTTTTAAATGTCCCGCTTTACAGTAAAGTTTACATGTCCACTTTACAGTACATGTCATTCAGCGCCCACGCGGACGCTAAAGGCATCATGCAACTCATCAGGCACTGCCAGCCCAGCAACGTGCTGCTCGTGCACGGCGAGAACGCCAAGATGGACTTCCTCAAGCAGAAGATCATGCAGGTAACTTGCCTGGGTAACCTCCGTGACCGTTGCCTGGGTAACCTCCCGTGACCGTTGCCTAACCGTTGCCTGGGTAACCTCTCGTTACCGTTGCCTGGGTAACCTCTTGTTACCGTTGCCTGGGTACCTCTCGTGACCGTTGCCTGGGTAACCTCTTGTGACCGTTGCCTGGGTAACCTCTCGTGACCGTTGCCTGGGTAACCTCTCTTGACCGTTGCCTGGGTAATCCCAAGTAACTATGTTTCCATTGACCTGAAATAACGGCCGCTTGATTAACTTCAAATAACCATCTTTGTATCAAGTAGCCGTTGATGGCTACCCCAAGTAAATAACTAAATGAAACTATGTACCTATGTACTATGTATGATAGTGAGATAGTTTATTTTGAACATCGTGAACTGTTGTGCAGGAGTTCAACATTAACTGTTACAAGCCCGGCAACGGAGAGACCGCTGTGATAGGCGTGGAGAACCGCCTCCGTGTGGAGGTGTCGCTGCCTCTCCTGCAGCAGTGCCTCGCCCAGCACGCGCTCTCCCAGCACGGTGACTTGTCCCACCTTACGCCGTGCCCCTTAGTTCTCTGCGTCATCAGCAGCAGCAATAGTCCATGCACCATCAATTATAGTGTTGATGCGTCATCAGCAGCATCAATAGTCCGTGCACCATCAATTATAGTGTTGATGCGCCATCAGCAGCATCAATAGTCCGTGCACCATCAATCAGAGTGTTGATGCGTCATCAGCTGCATCAATAGTCCATGCACCATCAATCAGAGTGTTGATGCGTCATCAGCTGCATCAATAGTCCATGCACCATCAATTATAGTGTTGATGCGTCATCAGCTGCAGCAATAGTCCATGCACCATCAATTATAGTGTTGATGCGTCATCAGCTGCAGCAATTGTCCATGCACCATCAATCATAGTGTTGATGCGCCATCAGCAGCAGCAATTGTCCATGCACCATCAATTATAGTGTTGATGCGCCATCAGCAGCATCAATAGTCCATGCACCATCAATGTTACCGACGACCTGAAAGTTTTGATGCATAGTCTGCTGAGGACATTTATTGTGTCAGAAGTTCCTCCCACTATTAACGTCTACTGGAAAGTCGTGTATATTAGAAACGTGATGGAATTTAATTTAATTTAAATTAATTACTTTTTAAAATCAATAAATAAATTAATAATTTTTTAAATTAATAAATTAATTAATTAATTTTTAAAATTAAAATAACGATTTACACATAACTTATGCAATTTACCAAAATTAATTGAACTGAAACTAAAACGCCCCTAATTGTGGCTACTGCACTGACTGAGCGTCGTAGGATTGCCTTGAATGATTGCTTTTTCGATATGCAGTGATCTAACATGTCAAATTTTATCTTTTCATATAAACTCTGACATTTTTTCTTCACATTTTTATATTTTTAAAGTTGTTAATTAATTATTAAGTAATCATATCGAAATTACATATTGCCCTTCATTGGAAATGGAAATCATTCATTACCTATTCTTAAATTTGCTAACATATCCGGTAGTTCACTGTGTGATTTGTATATATAGTATTTATATATAGTATTTATATTTAAGACTTGGTCTCCTCTGGTCTCTTCATTGCTTATTGACGATCTATAATAATGATACATCACTTGTAGCTTTTGATTGCTTACAGCACAGATCAAGCAAAAATGTATTGCAAGAAATTCCAAGAAAATTCTGCAAACTATCTTCTCAATTACATTTTATTTTAGGCGAAATGATAAATAATGTTCTTGTCATCTAGCATTTTGCTGAATTTTTGCGCATTGTTTTTATTATTATTATATTGTTGAGCTGACTTGTCGTTGTTGGTACAGGAGGCGAGGAGCTGACGAAAGGCAGCAGCAAGCGCGCGGCTGACGCGCCCCACGAGCTGACACCCGTCAGGAAGGCCCAAAAGCTCCTACACGGCGTCCTGATCATCAAGAATGATGCGAGTCTTTCATGCCCTGTGCTGTATTAATCATTTAATCATCAACCCTAACGATTAATATTGATGCAATAATTCATTCTTACTAATTACCTTTATCTTCTCTTAATTATTATTTCTGTTTTCGGCGAGTTATTCTTAGCCTGTGGTTTGAATTTTATTTAAATTTTTATTATTATTTTTTGTTTTGTTCGCTACGATCAGAAGAATTCCTACCAAAATGAACTTGAGTGAAGGAAATTGCCCAGTGAACTTCTTTATTTGAAGTTCGCAATAATAGTTCTGTGAAATGACGCAATAAATATCATGTATCTCTTTCGAATAGATGAATTTCTCCTGACGTCCCTGAAATTTTATTTTAATAATTTATTTTAATTGGATGTAATGTCGTGGAAAAATTATTTATAACACGTGAATGGTTTTTAATGTGGCAGAGCGTGCGCGTGTCGCGCGTGTGCGACGCGTGGCAGGAGCTCGGCGTGACGCCGCATCAGCTGCGCTACACGCAGCGTGTTGAGCTGCCGCTACACGCTACAGCTGCACACACCAGCATCACACACATGCTACACACCTCGCTCTCCAGGTTACACTCTACACTTAAATTAGTTATCATACCTAAAACTTTCTCTCTTATGCGCTATTGTTTGTACGTGTGTTCTGTGAAGTTTTTGAATTGATTATGAGTTGGTCTCCGAAAAACCCCATCACCCTCCTCGTCTCCTACACCCACCAGGTGAGCTCACTCGCAGCAGCGCCGTGATGGCCAATTTTATTCACCATCATTTAGCCTTTGTTATCAATAGGGGCAGTGATTATTGGTCATTGCTGTGAAGTTCATTCGCTTAAGTTTGACGGCGAAATTACGGCTTTGCCTTAGCAGGACTGGAAACAGCATACTAAGTACTGACGAACGATATGTACATTGTACAGCAATAACACAGTAACCATGATGGAAAAATTAATGCAATATTGCCATCATAAAAACGTCAATAACACAGTCGACATTATGGCAAACTTGATACAATATTGTCATGATATAAACAGCAATAACACAGTCACCACGATGTTTCTATACAGGACGAAGCTCTGGGAGCGCGAGTCTTAGACGCAGTGACGAGAATCTTCAAACTTCCTTCATCCTGATGGGGGCCAGGCGTGATGGTGTCGAGCTAGAGATTTCTTTAGTTGTATTAATATTTTTATATGTTCTGATGCTACACTAATCGTTATGTGTAGAAGCATTGCTAGTGCCCGGCCTGATGTGAATTAAGAGGCTTGAAGCATTGTTAGTGCCCGAGTGGGTCAAAGAATTGTCTATATCTCGCTATGCGAAATCCTTTATAAACCATCGGAACACTGGAAGTGTAGAAGTAACTTGCTGTTTCTGTAAAAATCAATCAAATAAATAGCTTACCATATTTGGACAAATAAAAACTACTTGAACTGTGTTTGTTTCCGTTGCCTGCATTTACTGAACTGCCGTCACATTGACGTAAGGTTCCTAATTCAACAGAGGACATTGATGAACTATAATTGGGTCCGTTAGTTGTCACCTTCTCGGGACAAGGAAAGATTTAGTGCTGTTGTGTACCGTATTGTTGTCTTTACCACTTTTTATATTGTTTCCAAATTTAAAACTTTTTTACTTTTTACTAAAAAAAGTAAAACTTTACTCTGAATAAATGTAGTTTGTGTTCCATTTGCACGTGCTGTAGGAACTCTCAAAAAGTTTCTTACTAACCTGTGATACTTTCCGAGATTCGTGTCAATACGAATGCACAGATCAAATAACGGTTAATGTGTGCTTTCACGTATAGTCATCCCTAGTTTTATTCATTTCAATGACATTTCTCTTGAAAGCAAACGTTCATCAAAGTAGGTTGATCAACATTTTTTTCTGAATTTGACTTCACTCGCAAGTTGCACTACATTCCAAAATTCATGCAGATCCGTTATGTATTGAAGGAATTATGAGTGTCCCAGTTGCTTAAAAAATACGTTTATTGGTTTTAATTAAAAAATATTTCATGTGAAAATCTGTAATAATTCCTGCGGCAGCGTATCTATAATTAATACTCACATTCCAAAATTCATGCAGATCCGTTAAGTATTGAAGGAATTATGAGTGTCCCAGTTGCGCGAGTCCGCAGGCGGGTCCGTAGAATTGTCGATTGAGTGCAAGTTGCACGGCTGTTCGGGCAACTTGACGATGTACATTTTAATTTTAAAAAATGTTCGAAGACAACCGTATATAATATATATCGTCAGTTTAGCCTCGGTTGAATTTATCCCGACCTGTGCACGAGTCTAAGTTTCCAATGATTTCACGTAGGAAATTTTCATGGTTGAATGTTTAGTCCCTATAACCTATAGACGACTTAGAAAAAGCGTGATGTTAATGTAAGTTTGTGAAAAAAAACACGAATGATTGCGATCATGGTTCAACCATGGATTGCGATGTTGCTTGGTCACAGGAACCGGCCGCAGGGTTGGCCATCCGAATATCCTATAGTTGAACATGACTCAGGATCTCCAAATTAATAGCTTTCAACGCAATTATAATGCTTCAGTGATATAATTTCTCTGATTAATTTTGTGAGTAGCTCCTATAGTATTTCAATGAAAGCTTGATTATGACAAAATTTATCGATTCGAATTGTTGAAACGCAGCTGTACTATATCGATAATGCATATGGTGCCATATAATGTAAAAATTATATATGTAAATTTTTCAAATAACTGTTTATTATTCGGATATTAAAATATTTAAATTTATGAAATAGAGTTATAGCAATAGTCACGTGACATGACGTCATCAACGTGTTCGTATTTCAAAAGTTTTACTATTGATGTAACAAATTGTTGAAATTTTAATATATATTCTCATCTGAAATTCTTTTTAGTCTAGCTAAAGATATATTAGATGTCTATACAAATTTTTGAGGTGCGTAAATGACGCCGTATGTTGTAGGAGATGATGATCAGTGAAAATTTTTATCTTTGTCAAGAAATTTTACAAAATGGCCGAAAATTTTTCTTAAATGGAAACGCATTTTAGTTTATTTCTGAATGAATGGGTTATTAACAAATAATTTTGAATAGCGTCGTGTCTGCAACGGCTTCGAACAAATGAAGCCGAAGCTTGGGTTCTCAGTCCACCCTTAGTAAGTTGCGTCCAGAAGATGTAATGGCGTCGTTCTGTTTGGATGTATGACGATTTTGTTATAAGATTTGGTGACTTAATCCGAAAGAACGCGTTTGTAACTTGAAGGTGAGGAAAGGACAATAACTAGAGTCCCGCAATTGGTAGAAACGCTCGTTTTCAGAGATTGTGCTCAGAAAAAAGTTATATTCCGATGTATTGCGCGCTTTTGTGTGTGGTGTAATTGAACTCGGTGAAGTTTATAAATACGAGTTTTTACATCAAGATAGCCTAGTCCCTGATGTGCAAGTCAAGTTCGAACGTGGTTGACACATTATTTGAAAACTATATGATTTGTATCACTTGATACAGATATAAAGCTTTTTCAGATCTGATTTGTTGGGTCATCACCCATCAACATTTTTCATTGTTTGAAAATGTCAACATTATCAAGTGCCATCTGACTGCAGACATCAGTGACACTTTGCCAGTTGCCACTAAACAATTCAACACTAAACAATTTGCCATCTTTTCCCACACACAATGGCATCCTAGAAAAAAATGTATTTAGTCAAGTATAAATACCAAAGAAATATATTCAAACTTCTGATTTTTTATGGTTTACATAAATACTCAATTTTATATTTACAATAACAGATTGTTTTCTATTTATTTAGGTAACACATTACAACTTTGCCTACCTAACTGATAAATCCAGATTGTTCATTAATATCTAGGGTAAACGCGGTATATTCCGACATCGTAGGTAATTCCGTTGCCTCTCCAGCTTTTCCTTTATATTAAGCTTTGTTTTAGATCCTTCACTTCCTTGCGTTCATTGATGGTTGAAATGGTGACGTCATACATTTGCGTGTCAAAATACTGCAAAAACACTAAGTCTTGGCCATCTAGTGGGGAAATATTGAGATCCAAAGAGAGACAATGCATGCCACATGGTGAGATCATCAAAAAATGTGTCAAATTTGACAGTTCACATGGGCACATGGCTCTACCAAATAGTGAATAACTGTTTTTATAGGAAGAATATTATGGTTTGAGACTTTTAAATACGTCTGTGAATATATAAAAAATCCTTTAAGTATACTTGTATTCGCTGATTTCAAGTCGTAAATAAATTAATAGATGATTAAGTTGAGATGTTGGATTTAGACACATGAAAACTAATTCCGACACAACTTGAATTGGACACACACAGATCGTTCTCTTATACACATCT